ACGTTTCGACAAGGTTTTGTCATCATCAGGTATGACAAAACCTTGTCGAAACGTTGTACATTTGCTGTCATGTTAAAGTTATATTAAAGTTTTTCTTCATTACCCATTTAAGCCGTCTCCAGCCATTATTATATCATAATATTGCTTTGAATTTTTATTTTTGACTTCACATATTTCCAAAATGTCTTGGAATTTCTTTCAACATCTTTGACTATGTCCCTTTTCTTTATCTTTTTGTAACTTTAATAGGGCTCTGATCTTACTTCTTTTCTATTGAAAATGTTTTCTTGTTTTCCTTATTACTTGCATAAGCTATTACTCAAGCCCTGTGTTTTGCTTTAATTTCATTTTTAAACACTTTGTTGATTGGTAATTTCCTTTTGTTTAACCAAGTAGATTTAGTAGTGTCAGGTTATGAGTAACATATCTATCAGTTGCAGTTTTTAATTTATCTTTGAATATGTTCCATTGCATATCTACATTTTCAACACAGTTACTGAGCAGTTTATTCCAATCGCTATCCATGTCTTTTTAGCTGTGATATAGCGGCTCTTAGAATGACTCTTGATTGTTTTTTCAATTACAAACTTTTAGCTCATAGTTCATCATATCTTGACTAATTTGAGATCTAATTACAGTTTTGAACTCGGGAAGTCAAACTCTGTATATGTCCATGTCCAAGGTCTCGTAAGTTAATTTACTTTAATCCTTCATAAAAGAATTTTAATTTGAGGGTAGGTTGATAGAAATCCTTGTTAGTAATATGATTGAATTGGGTATACTTGCGTGTCACATTTGGTATTGTTGGTATACAAAAATGTAGATAATATAAAAAAAAAATTCTCGTAGATTAATTTACTCTAATCCTGCCTAAAAGAATTTCAAGTGCCGTGGCTATTGTGGATTCCCTCTTTTTTTTCATTTCTTCATGATCACTCCTGTCATAATAATATTTCATTTTTTTCATTTAGAAGTGTCCATGTAACACACAAAATCAATCACTATTACCAAATGATCAAGAGGACTGTAGTACTTTAATTTCAGAAATTGTATTTTCTTGTGTAAAAATGAAATCAATTGTGCTTGGCTCCTGATGAAAATAGTACCTGCTGTATTTGTTGAAAGAGGAAGTTATCTATAACACATTCAATGAATTTAAATTCACCATTTTCCCATTTACTTGTATACCAGTTTTTTCTGACATCTTATTATAGTTAAAATCTCCCAAAACTAGGATGTGACTGTTTCAGATCAACTGCTTTTCAGAGTAGGGTTAATAAATTATTATTGTATTCAGCTGTGCCACTTTCACTTCTGTATATACAGCCTAGTAATAGTTTATTTTCACCAAACATATTCAATTCAACCTAACAAGATTCTTTGTATTCCTCAAAAATTTCAACATCAACAACATTTAATGAACTATGTACAAATATATAATTGCAGTTATCACAACAAGTCTTTGGTTTTATTTCAATCACAGCTATTATTAAAGGTTTTTCTATTATTACTGGTTAAGTTCAATGATTTGTTTGATAGGGAATCGGCATAGGTATATAAACATTTTAACTTGAACAACTATTATTCAACTTGTTTACAGAGTCATCCTTATATCCATTATTTATTTGATTCCTTTAATTTCTCTTTTCAATTTTTTGATGTAACAATGCCATGGAGGACCCTTGACCTAGTACACAAAGGGAGAATCACAGGCTTTATCTTCTTTTCTCCTGGCTTCAGGCTGGAATATCTTAAATTTTTTTTGCTGCATTTCAGTTTGATCATAATCAACATTCAGTAGTGTTTTTTTAATTTGTTCAGTCATCTTACTCTAATTCCAGGTACTCTACACCTGCAATACAAGGTGTTTGTGTGCTGACAAATAGGAATTAAATCATCTTACTCTAATTCCAGGTACTCTACACCTGCAATACAAGGTGTTTGTGTGCTGACAAATAGGAATTAAATCATCTTACTCTAATTCCAGGTACTCTACACCTGCAATACAAGGTGTTTGTGTGCTGACAAATAGGAATTAAATCTATCTTACTCTATCCAGGTAC